AGTGGCCTAAATATGGCCTATTGGCAGTAGTTTCCTGACCCCTGAGCTAGGCCATGAAACAAGCAAAAGCAGAAATTCTATATGACATTACTAAGAGGAAATGTGGGACTGGTCTCCAAGGAAAAGAGAAGTTCGGTAAGAATTATATGTAAAAAGGCAACACAATAACCAACTTGTTCACACATGAGGATCAATCAATTGTAAGAGTATCTGAAAGAGTCCCAGGAAGTAGAACTCTTCTTACTTAACTTGGTATACTGCCACACTAAATAAACAACCTGAAGCAGCAGTAAGTTATTGATGTGTGCCTCCCCGATTCGGACACCAGATGTGTGTGTTTTTTCCCTACATCACCAAGGAATTAACTCAGTTCTGACACTATCTGGAGATAGCATCAGATACCACAAGTTAAGGGTTCAGTCCCAGAAAACTGCACGTGCCCCCCACCCCCTCTGCAACTTCGGATGCCAGGCACAAATTCAGGTTGTCACCTTGCTTCTGACCTACCACCTCTAGAATGGAGGTTCCCATGACCCTCTCCTTGAATTTGATTAATTTGCTAGAGCAGCTCACATAACTCAGAGAAACATTTTACTTACTAGACACCAGTTTATTATAAGAGGATATTAACTCAGGAACAGCCAGATGGAAGATTCGTAAGGCAAGGTATGGGGAAGGGGTGCAGAGCTTCCATGCTCTCTGGGCACACCACTCTTTCCCCATCTCCTCATGTTCACCAACCTAGAAACTTTCTGAACCTTGTCCTTTTGGTATTTTATGGAAACTTGATTACATAGGCATGATTAATTAAATCATTAGCCATTGGTGATTGCACTCAATCTCCAGCCCTGGTGGGGAGAGGGGGACTGAAAGTTTCAACTCTAATCGCTAGGTTGGTTCCCCTGGCAACCAGCCCCAATCCGTAGGTTACCTAGGAGCTTTGCAAGAGTCTCCTCATTAACATAAGCTCAAAAGACACCTTAATCACACTTATCACTTAGGAAATTCCAAGGGTATCTGATTCCTATGCCAGGAACAGGGATGAAGATTAGATACATATTTCTAATTATAAATTACAATATCACAGCCTACTTTAGAACAGTAAGTAATGGAAGACATAAAAGAGAAATTATGCTTACAGACGGAAACAAAACTAATGTAATAATACATAAACAGTAAGTACTGCAGAAAATATCTTCCCCTTGGTCTTAGCTATAGGATACCTCCTTTATAATAGAGATGTTTACTGATGGTGTTTATAAAAAGAACACATTCTGCCTTAAGAAAGAAACTTAAATTTGAAAGGTTTTAGTGAAGTCATTAATTTCCAGGTCAACACAGAGAAGTAACTTAAACTGGTTTGGGCAAATACTTATCAAAAAGTCTGACTGAGGGCTTCCCTGGTGGCGCAGTGGTTAAGAATCTGCCTGCCAGTGCAGGGGACACGGGTTCAAGCTGTGGTCCGGGAAGATCCCACATGCCACAGAACAACTAAGCCTGTGCGCCACAACTACTGAGCCTGCGAGCCACAACTACTGAAGACTGCATGCCTAGAGCCTGCGCACCGCAACAAAGAGGAGCCCCGCTGGCTGCAACTAGAGAAAGCCCACAAGCAGCAACAAAGACCCAATGCAGCCAAAAATAAATTTATAAAAAAAAAAAATTCTGATTAAAAGCAACATGTGAACAAAATAATTTTCTATAGCAATTAAAAATATGAAAAGTAGGAAATAGATATTCAGAGGAACCACGACTTATTCAACATTTCATGAACACAGAAACCAGATGTGGTAGCACCATCCACTACCACATGAAACATGACCAGAAATCCACCAATGGAGAGCTTCCAAGCATTAAGAAAAATAGTTGCATAAAGCTTCAAGAAGTAGAAATCCATCCGTGGGCTACAGCTTACTGTAATTTTAAGAGTTATTAACCTTAGAATTTGATCATCTGGTTTCTACTTTGCTTTTTCAGTGCAGCAAATAAGAGGAACTGATATTAATGAACAGAAGTGATGGCCAAAAAAGGAAAGGAAACCATAGAGCCATTTTCAAATAGGGGCAGGCATATTACTATGCACCTGCATCATAAAGAAAAGTTATTTCTCTCTATTGAGAGGAAAATTATCAGAGTTCTTTTAGCATTAAACAAAGGGATTTCCTTTATCCTTGATTGATCATGTTTGCAGAGTAAACATCACTCTTCCTCAAAGTATTATTGGTGTCCTTAGAATTCATGACTTAGATAAAGAAGGTACACAGGAAAAAAACAAAAAACCTCATGATAGAAAAACTAAAGCCCAGGTAAATTAAATGAAATTAGCCCATGGTCATTGGTAAATGGAGACGTTTAACTCCAAATGCTATTTCCACAAATAGGTTTCCTATTGAAGAAAAAAAAAGAAAGCATCAACAGAAGATACCAGTTATCAGATGCTACATAAAGACAACACTGGATTAAAAGCTTGAGAGGGATCTACACTTCAATATTTTACTTTCATTTTGCTTGCCCTATATTAAAGTTAGCCAATCATATACTGTAACCATACTGGTAATCCTACACCATAAAGCAAATTTACTACCACTATAATCTATACACTACAAACACAAATTTGTAATTCACTTATATAAGGAAAAGACAGTCTGTGACATGATTTTGAATTGCCATCCCTGAGCAAAATAGTGAACTAGAAAGAAGTTTGTTTTTGATGTCCTACCTCCACCATACCTCACCTTTGACCTCTTGATGCAACTTTTTCGTCTTGCCAGATGCCTATCCTCTGCCCAAAATTAGAGACAGGAATACATAGAAGTGATGTGAAGATGTGAAATTAGGGTGACCCAGCACACAGCTCTTCTAACTATTCTTTTTACTATGTTAATTCCAGGATCAGAAGCTAACGTTTGTAGTGTCTATGATATGCCAAGTAATGTGCTAGATAAGCATTTGGCATGTGCTGTCATTAATTTTCACCACCAATTAACAGAATAGGTATTACCCCCTATTTTATAGATGAGAAATACAGACTAGTGAAGAAATTTCTCAACATTATACAAGTGTACTATCCCCCTTTAATGACCCACAGCTGTACTGCTACAAATGCCCTCAGCATATCATCCCAGTGAAGTGACTTTACAGAACTTTGTCTGTGAAAATGTGCCACCTGTATGTCCTTGTCCCACTCCTGTGGGACACTAACAGACACTAACAGAATAAAGACAAAGAAAACTAGTGCATGTTATCATCTTGCTTCAATATTTTCAATTTTTGAATGTTTATTTATAGTATCAATAGGGAGAACAACACAAGCTTAATCAGAATGCCTCTCTGACAACCAGATAACCAGACTTTATCTTGCCAAATATGACTTAGGAATAGTTAAATTCTGCTTCAGACTATGAGATATTAAGATGCTTCTTAAATTGTATTTGCTGGGCTTCCCTGGTGGCGTAGTGGTTAAGAATCCACCTGCCAATGCAGGGGACACAGGTTCGAGCCCTCGTCTGGGAAGATCCCACGTGCCACGGAGCAACTAAGCCCTTGTGCCACAACTACTGAGCCTGTGCTCTAGAGCCCGCGAGCCACAACTACTGAGCCCATGAGCCACAGCTACTGAAGCCCACGCGCCTAGAGCCTGTGCTCTTCAACAAGAGAAGCCACCGCAATGAGAAGCCCACGCACCACAACAGAGTAGCCCCCGCTCGCCACAACTAGAGAAAGCCCATGTGCAGCAACAAAGGCCCAACACAGCCAAAAATAAAAAATAATTTAAAAGAAAATTATATTTGCTATTTTTATAATTTTAGGTATAGTTAAAATTTATCCTTAATTTGTAATAATTTTCAGTGTATCTCTAGTTGAAGGGAAAAAAGTTGAACAAGTTTTATAGGTGTAATTATCTTTACAATACTTACTCTCCACATTACCCAATGGGCCTAGATATCTAATAGGTAGCTTCTTAAACTTTATCTATAAGGCTGTAGTAAGTACAAAATAGAAATTTCATCTCTTTATAGTGCCCACTGATCTAATTTTCTCCACTTTTCTTTCTGTTGCAATTCTAGAATTACATTACGAATTAAGTCAGAGATGGACGTTTTAAATTATAGAAACCTACATAATTTGTTTTTCCACCCCAATAAAGTTAAGGTTCAACTTTTGTTCCTTCAAATATTTACTGAACACCAAGTGTACTATGTATTAGGTATTGGGGACACAAAGGGATAAAGAAAATTTGTAACTTCTAACTCATGGTTTAGCTAGCGCCTGACATACACTTAACAAATGTTAATGATGTGAAGAAAGGACACAAGAAGCAGAGGAAATAATTGGATCTATATCAGCTGTGAGGTGAGGGGACAGTTGGAGCAGATGAGGTCAGTAAAAGATACACAGAAGAGATGGTTTAACTGGAGTTTTGAAGAGAGAAGTAAGATTTCACCATGTTGTATACGAGGCAGAGATTTTCCCCAGCAAAGGCAAAGAATTTTAAAAGTACACAAAGGAAATGGCAAGTACTGCCATCTGGTAAAGCTGAAAATTGAGTACATCAAATGGAAGAGATTATAGTAGATAAGGCTGGAAAGGAAGGGTCACATCTTAAAGACTCTTTGGAGCCATGGAATATTTCTAAGAGTAGCAACCATATCTGTCTTAGAAAGGTTAATCTGGTGGTAACGTAATGGGCTGGAATGGGGGTAGGGGCAGAGGGCCGCAGGCAGCCTAGAACATGTTATGCTATTTTAAGAGCCTAGGTGAGATGAACATCTACTATGACTGTGAACAGCTACTATAACAAGAAGAGTAGACAAACATTTCTGGGGTCCACTCAAGAAAATCTCATGATATATTGTAGAGTTGACGCGTGAACAACGTGGGGGTTAGGAGCGCTGACCCTGACGCTGGCGAAAATCCACTTATAACTTTACACTTGGCCCTCCGGCCCTCCATATTCAAGGTTCCACACTCTTAGATTCAACCAACAACGGATTGTATAGTACTGTGGTATGTATTTATTGAAAAATATGTGTGTAAGTGTGTAAGTGGACCCTCGCAGTTCAAGCCCATGTTGTTCAAGGGTCAACTGTACACAGAGGAAAAGATAGAGAAATCAGATTACCATGAGATGACTGCAGAGAGAGAGAGAGTGACGCAATAACAAAATTAGGAGGGAATGGAACAGCTAATTCTTGGGGGCAAGGGAGAAGAATTTAGACTTGATTACATGGGTCATTAGAGATTGAGAAACCAAGGCTGACTGAAGTCATGGGGTCACGAAGATAGTTCAGGGACAAAGCCTAGAGACCTAAGGGGAAGAATCATAGAGACTGCCTTAAACAATGGTGGAGAGGTAAAAGAAGCCATCCGAAGAAACAGAAACCAACAACAACAATAAACCCCACAACAGGTCATGCAGAGCTTTAATGAGTAAATGATTGATAACAAGTGTTACAGGGGTTAAACAGAAGTATTAAGAAACGCACCCACTGGATTTGGTAGTCAAAAGGTGACCATTGAGAGAATCACTTCAGCTAAAATGTTAAATTTGAGGATTAAAGTGAAATTGTAGTGAGATGAGAAGTGAAGCAGACAGATTTCTAAGAACTTTGTCAGTCAGGAAGACAGATGGAAAAAAGAGCATAAAAGTCATACTCAAGATTTTTTGGTTTTTTTAAGACAGACTTGAGATTTTTCACATAAAATTTCATCTGAAGAAGAAACTTGACAGCTGGGTGGGGACTGAACTGTCTAAATAAAATTTTAAACACTACTATGCAAAATATTTGCAACTATGTTGACTTGCGAGTCTGCACACTTAGTAGTAGTCAGTAGAACAATAGCAATGACCTTTACAGGAAAGTGTAAAGATTTAACATTTTCAAGACATAAATGCATAAATTCTAAACTTCAAAATGTACTGAAGGATCCAAAGTTCTCATATTTTAATAGTGCCATTCTTGGAAGGTAGATAATGGTAATAAAGCATACGAGTAGTAAGTTTTAATTTCTAGTTAACATAATTCTGTTTCCCACATTTTGTTCTCAGGTCATTCACATTCCCTGATTGAGTCTGAAATCCTGAAGGGAAGATAACCTAAAATGCAAGATGTTTTCCCCCTCCTTTCCCTGCTCTCCCAGTAGAAATATGATATACAACGCCTGTAAACTTAAAAAGGAAAGACATCTCTGCTTTTAGGTTCCTTGTGCTTAACATTTTAGAAAGCTGTCACTCCCATCTGCAATATGCAGTGGGTTACAGGAAAAACTGAACAGAAAAGCCAGGACAGAGATTAAGGATGTTATACCTCTCCTGAGTTGTCCTCTTAATTTTCTTATCTGAGGTATATTGCCAGAGCCAATATCAAACAGAACTCTTTAATGAAACAGCACATTCTAAAACCAGTAAAATTTTGTTTACATATCAAAGTAGTTAAACAGAAGGAAGAAAGATTAAGAAACAGCTGTTCTACCACTCTAAAGATAAAACCCATCATGTCACTTTTTACCAGCCTAAAAGTATTTTGAAAACAATGGTACTTTTGTCCTCTCCTCCTGGGATAAAAATAGTCATATCTAGAGGGAAGGGAGGCAATTTACCATGCCATCCCAGCACCCATACCTTACTAGTTTAGCGACCTTGTTTAAGGTGATCTTTAATATTCTTCTCTGTTGGCATAAGTCAATTTTTGGTATTTTTAAGAGTAAAAACGATTTTCAGACTGGAATCACTTTCAAGATCTTATGGTTTCTGTTGAAGATAGAGACAAGAATTTTTAAATATGACAAGATGAAAGTAAAATGTCAAATATAAGAAAATAATTACAAAACATGGAAAAAGATTATGGTTATCAATTTTAGTATTTATTGAAAGGTGGAAGACAAAGAAAATTCCTCTCAAACTCCAAAAATAAATCCTGCACCTTCGCTAAAAATGCAAAATGAACTGAGATATTTGCTTTACATGACAATGAAACTATCCAAAAAATAACTGAATCCAAATTTACCAAAACAGTGCAAATCTATTATTTACAAAGATGATCTTACCTGCCATAAGTATTGGGGAAAAACCTATTTTACACTCAGGAACGCTAATGAAATACCTCGAAGACTTAATCCAAGAAATAAAATATTTCCTACCCTCCATGACCCCCCCCACAAAGTTAAAGAATGGATTAAAAATGAATATATGCGGAAACAAACAGTATTTCCAATAACCTTATACACATACACGCGCACAGGCACATGCACACACAGAGTGTTGTGCTAGATCAACCTAATCTTTATTTAAGGTCAACAGCTGTAGTGACAAAGACGATAATGAATATGGCTTTAGTAAAGTTTTCAACCAAATATCACAAATGCTTAATTCTTTTGATAGCTAACCAGCTAACCTGAGTATGGAATATATTACTTAGCTAAAAGGATATGAACAAAAATAATTAAAAAGAAAAAAATCACTGTAGCAGACACCACTGAGGTACCTTAGTTTTTTTTTTTTTTTGTAAAGGTCTGTATGGCAATTTAATAATTTACGTAACAACTATTTATTCTATATAGTATAAGTTCATATAGAAACTGTATCTTAAGTGCTTCATTATTCTGGTCCAAGAAACTGGAAATAACAGAAAAAAAGTTGTGTTCAGATAAGAACTGGAATGTACTAACTAGGAAACCATTAATATAATACAATATTGAAATAAAAATTATTTGTATGTAACAAACGTAGCCAACAACTTCTCAGATTGCATCTGAAGAGAATTTTTAAATTATAACCCATAAGACAGGAACGTAAGCATTACTCAAGGTGACAAGGCTGTATCTTGAAATCTGTGTTCACTAACTTGTATTTCACCTCCACAGAGATGTATGCATTTTACAAAACAATTAAAATTTCAAAATATGGAGAAGGTTGACTATCGGTTATATAGGAAACTACACTTAAAAGCGACCACTCTGGTTGTTTTACGTATGTCTTTAAGTTAAAAGTTTAAGGCTCATATATTTTGCAGGGATACCCTAAAGACATTTTATTGCAGTATGGTCTCATGCATCTATGTGTATGACCCTGGAAAACTGGAGCTAAAACGAACCTTGTTAAATATGTTACCCTTCACTTAAAGAAAGAAAAACCTAAACATTGTTACCACATTCTCTCTCAATTTTCAATACTGGTTTGTTATAAACTTTTGTCTCCCAAAAAGGTAGGTGAAAATACATAAATTTAGCTAAAAATAGAAGATAAAGGTGGTGAGGAGCATGTTAAGTAATATATAAAACAAAATCCCTATTTACATTTGCATGATTTATACTTTCCTTACGTCATGAAAATTCCTATGTTGCAAATATACTGATTTTCTACTAACCACTGAGATTTCCTTACAATACTTGCCTACCCTTTTAAACTGGAGGCCAGAAATGACATCAATGCTGCAGTTTATTTTTCCTGATGAAATGCCTCTGAGTAAGCTTCTCCCTGACCAGAGAGATAAGCAGTTTTATGGGTACCACAAATGAGGCTGGAGTAGAAACCACTCAAAGTGGAATGGCAACACTAGCTCAAAAGGCAGCACAAAGAACCCCATTTGAAAGTAATCAACCAAAGTATGAGCCCAGAAAAATACCAAATTCAAGTAAAAGAAAATAGATTTGCAACCAGCATAGTTCCTAACATCAAAGCATACACTGAAGACATTTGTTTGACTTTTAATTACGGTAGTTGAAGCAATCTGAAACGGTGCTGAAGTCCATTATTGAAGAGATTTGTTTTAATCATCTTTAGCTAGGCACTGGCAATCCTGTTTCCTATTCCAATTTTACTTTCTAGAGCTTCTTTTGAAAAAAGAAAAAAATACTCTAAGTTGTTTACCTTGCTAGGGTAGGGAGAGGGATGCTTAGAAAGATGAGGTAACAGATCTTATTTTGTTAGTTATCTCTTTATATATGGCAGTTGAGTCACTGCCCTTATTTTAATATTTTGTATTTGCCATATTTTCCTTCTGTTCCTCAAGAAAAATGTAATAGAGGATTTTAACTGCTCAGAATTAAACTTTCTGTAACTGAACATTTTTTCTCAGCTACTATTAGGTATAGTATGGGTGCTGATTAGCAAGAAAATTTTCTCAACTTCTTATTCCATACACTACAAAGAAAATTCACGTTATAGGGCTATATAATCAGGTCACATAACTTCATTAGTTAAAGGGTTAAATATCACTAACAGACCTTGTTTCTCCCAACTTATAAAATTGATTCTATTACCTAAGCTGCTCTCTTAATGTTGAATATAAATATTTAAAAATGTATTCCAGGGAGCATAGGAAGTTTCACATATTCATCTTATTCAGCAATTTAAGAAGTTATGCAAAATATGATAACATATATATATATTCCCATACATACACACACACATATAAATATGCTTTCATAACTGAACCTTGGTTTTAAAAATGCTTGCACAGTGTGGGGAATTTAAATATTCACAAGATTTGAATACATACATTTGCACTCCATTAGCACTCTAAGTGGATATACCAGCAGAAACATAATAGATCAAATAAATGATTTAACTGAATTGTCAGTTTGGTGGGGTTTTTTTGCAGACCCAACAGAAAACATATTATTATGAACCTTTATTAAGTGGCTCACATTTCAGTATAAATCACACTAAAAAGGTTTTTTTAAAGCTATTTACACTACAGTGCTGACACATTTAAAATGAAGAAAAAATCGGTATAAATAAGCTCTATGGAAAAGCCTTAAATTGTCAAAAAAGAATTCTGGCTCATATTACAAAATATATATATATATATATGTTAATGTCAGCTCTATTCTAAAACCTACAACTCCAACTCAAATGATTTTTTTAAAGACTCCTTTTGTTTAAACCTGCAATGTTTACAGTGCATCTGGCCCTAAATGCTTTGATACTTCACAGTTATGGACAGGCACTGAGGAATGTTACAAAGCTACATAAACTATAATTTGTAACAGACTTGGGAGCAAGTTCTTGGCTTGCTTTCAGAATTCACGAATCTTTATTACATTATTAAGTTTAAGAAAAAAAACAATATTAAATGGTATATACAAATTTAGCACAAAATGTTATCATCTTTTCTCTCTTGATTTGAATGTGTTGAACTATGTTGCCTTGTATCAACTAGGCTTATGAGACTTCCAGGACACATTTCTTCCTTTAAATCTTTGTTGCTATTTTCAAATTTAGAGTCCACATCAATCTTAAATTCTGTAAATTGAACATGATCCAATTTTGCTTTAACATTCTTGCCATCCATATTATTTGGTGCTCCAGTCTTTTCAGGAATATAAACATTCACAGGTTCTTCCTTGATTCTTACAGTTGCAATAGGTTCATGTTTAATCTGCTGTAATTCATATTTAGAATGAAGTTTGTCTGAAAAAACAGAATCCAAGGAGGTTTTGCTTACAGCACAAATCATGTTGTCAGTGTGAGGTCCAAGAATTGATGATGTGGAATCTGGTGATGTGCATGTTTCATGAGTAACTGTATTCTGAGCAGTGTCCTCCTCTGAGTGATATAACTTGAGACGAACATGCCATGCTAAACTGCATACAGCTGAAACTGTCTTGAACTGATGAACAACATTCCTTGGAATAAAATAAATGTCATTATCATACAGCTGAATCCTGGCATAGCGAATGCCTTCCCTCCTCAGTTGATTAAGTTTTGCATCATCAACCCACTGGACACACTAAAATAAAACAAAACAAAACAAGAAATACCAATAAGTCTTTTCCACAATAAAAATTAAATTGAAGATAATAATAGTTTAAAATATACCTGGGACAGTGGAGGTTCATGTAAATCTAACTGCATTCGTTGAACTACTTCTAAGAAATCTTCAGCATGAAAACAAATTACATCTTTGGTTATTCGGGGTTGATCAGGCCTAAAAAAGAACATGAGATAATGAAGAGTCTGCCATTAATGTTTCACTCTGCTAAGTCCTTATTAAATTCAAAGCAAAAAAAGTTTATGGTCAACACCAAAGTATTATCTTAGAAATGAACTGTAATTAGAAGACCACTTTACATATTTAAACAAAGGGATAACACCACGAGTTTCAACCTAAATATGGATACAAACAACTCATTTTATTATTTACACACACACACACACACACACACGTTTTCGTATAGCAGAGCAGAAACTTTATTCATTAATCAAGGAATGGAGAAGGGAGAGCTCATGCTCTAAAAACACCTTCTCCCTGAAGGGAGAAGAGTAAGGGAATTTTAAGGGGTAGGAGGCAGACATATCATCAGGGCTCTTGCAAAGGGGTGGAGATTTCCAGGAGCAGCCTGACCTCATTTTATTATAGCTATGTGTAACCATATTTTGAAAAATTAAATTGACCTGGACTGGTTAATTATGCAAATCAAAAAACTAAGTGTTTAGTCTTAAAGTTAAGACTTTAACTTAAAGTCTTTAATTTGTTGTCAATACTTCAACAAATTAAGTGCTAAATTAAAGATACTATATAATATAAAATTTAGAGATAAATATAGGGGAAAGGGAATACATTCTTTCAATACAGACATATATAACTGCAATGATACCAAAAATCCCTAAATAACTCCTAAAAATTAAGAGACATTCAATAGAAAAGTACTTATAAAATAAACTGTTACCATCCTACTTGCTGAGGTTAATAGAGTCTTTAAATATAATTCTAAAAAAAATCCCCAAATTCTTCAATTAATTAAGAATATACAAATACATGTTTATAAAAGATGCTCAAAAATGGAGTTTGGAATAAAATCCCAAGAAACATAAATACCAACCCCCCCCAATCATACCAAGGAAATCATAACCAAATTTTAAAAAAAGTGATAAAGAGAAAATCTAAAACTCATGCATCACATTAATATACAGGGAAAGAGGGTAAGAATGATTGCAGGCTTCTCATCAGAAACAATGCAAGCCAGAAGAGAGCACACTATCTTTAAAGTATTGAAAGAAAAAGTCAGTCTAGAGTTCTATAACCCCCAAAATATCCTTGAGAAGTGTGAAATAAAAACATTTTCAGACAAACAAAAACTGAGAGAATCTGTCACCAGAAGACCAGTACAACAAAGAATGTTAAAGAACTTCTTCAGGCTGAAGGAAAATGATATTTAGATGAAAATGCAGATCTATTCAAAGGAATGGAGGGTGCAAGTAATAGTAAATATGAAAGATATTTTATTCTCATCTTAAAAATCTCTTCAGAAATAATTCCTTAATGCCAAAGAAAGCAACATATTTGGGGGTATGGTTATAGCACACATAAAGCAAAATGTATTAATAATAATTAGCACAAAGGCCATAAATGGGAGCAGGGAGAGATGGCAGTATACTATTGAAAGTTCTTACACATTACATAGCAGGTATAATTTTATGTTTTTATAAGCTGGCATTATTTTTTCTTTTCATTTTGAAAATGTTTCAAAGTGTTTATTGCTAATATATAGAATTAAAATATATACAAGTGACTTTTCAATGTTGTCTTATCTTGTGACTTAGATAAATTCTAATACTTCTTTTGTAGACTTAGAACTATCTCTATACACAATTATTTTTTCTTACTCTAAGACCCTGTAATTCCATTTCTATGTATTTACTGAAATGAAATGAAATTTTATGTGCACACAAAGGCTTGAAAGGGAATGTTCATAAGAGCTTTATTCATAAAAACCCCAAACTGGAAACAATTCAAATCTCTAACATCAGGTGAATGGATAAATCAATTGTGATGTATCTATACAATGACATACCACTCAGCAACACGAAGGAATGAACTACTAATACACATAACAATATAGATGAGTGTCAAAAACATTATGCTGAGTGAAAGAAGTCAGGCAACATATGATTCTATTTAAATGAGATTCTAGACTAGGCAATACTAACCTATAAAGAAAGAAAATAGATTTTATAGATGTCTGGAGCTGGGGTACGAATGGGGGGAGATTAACTGCCAAGGTATATGAAGGAAACAAAATATTCTATATTTTAGTCGTGGTAATGGTAACATGGCTGTATAAATTTGTCAAAACACATCAAACTGTACACTTATAACAAGAGTGTGTATTACTGAATACAAATTATACTTCCATAGTTGATTTTTCAAAAAACTGGATTTCAAGAAGCAACCTGAAATACATAAATCTATGTGAATTCTATCTTCCTAATACTAAAAAGTTATATAAAATTCATCAACACTTCACAAGTCTATCTAGTTTAAGATTTCTTTGTAGTCTCAATCAATCCCAGTCCTTTATCTCAAATTGGTGTTAAGCCTGTCTCTAAGATAAAGTCAAGAATCTTGGACTTCCCTGGTGGCGCAGTGGATAAGAATCTGCCTGCCAATGCAGGGGACACGGGTTCAAGCCATGATCTGGGAAGATCCCACACGCCATGGAGCAATGAGTCCGTGCGCCACAACTACTGAGCCTGTGCTCTAGAGCCGGTGAGCCACAACTACTGAAGCCTGCATGCCTAGAGCCCGTGATCCACAACAAGAGAAGCCACCGCAATGAGAAGCCCACATGCCGCAATGAAGAGTAGCCCCTGCTCAGGGCACCTAGAGAAAGCCTGTGTGCAGCAGCAAGACCCAACAGAGCCAAAAATAATAAATAAAAAAATTAATTAATTAATGAAAAAAAGAATCTAATACTCTAACGCCTAATGTCTCCTTGAGAAAAAGAGCAGAACTCAAAACACTAAGATAAGGAGAACACTAAGAGAAAGCACCAATTTCCTTAGTATAGCTTAATTTAACAACAAGGAATAACAATAAAGGGATCATAGACCACGTTTGCATCAGAGCCATGAAACCCTCTTAAAGCATCAACCAAATTATTTTCTTACCATCTTTAATACTAAGAGATTAAAGCAGCATTGGTATAGAAAGCAAACTGTATTTTACAATACTGAGAAAACTCATAGCTAGCAACATCTCATTCCAAAATCTGTCTCAAATTAAAACTGGCCACCTAATATATTCATACTTTGGCAACAGTCTTTTTCACTGTGAAATTGTTAGCTTCAAGTGTCTTTTCATTCAGTAACTATTCATAGGGAACTATGATGGACCTGTGAAGGACAGGACACAATCTCTAACATCAAATAACATATAAAGTGGAGAAGCAAGCATAAACCAACAATAATTTAAAGGAGCTTAAGAGAGATTTAAACAAAGTTAAGGCCAAGAAGCAAGAATATTTATCTCTGAAAAAAAAATGTAACTATATGGCTAACTTTAACAAATACTATCTATAAATCAGAGTTCACCCTAAATAAATTTTGATGCCACTCTTAAATCCTTTATACCAAACATTCAAGAAAAATCTCATTAATTTGAAACAGGGGGTTGTTGTAATGATTTCCAAAGAGATACATCGCCTTTACTCTTTGACAAAATTAGTATTTTAAACCAGATTATGTTAGAAACTATATGAGAACAACCACAGATATTTGATAATTACCATTTAACTTAAACACAATTACAAATTATTATTATTGAATTATAAACTGTTAATGTCATTTTCCTAAGGACCTCTTAGGGTTAGTTCAGTACTAGTTACTTTGTATATCTGAAATTGATAAAGCTTCATTTATGTTAAGAAAGAAGGTCAGTTTACAGTGGCCTCTCCATTCAGTATTAATTTATAAAATATTACTTTAAATTTTCCCTTTTGAACAAAGGGTCAATCTTGTATTCACAGCCCCTGAAAAAATTTCCTTGTACAGAAAATACAGGCAATATTTTTCACAACATCTTAGGAATCTATGCAACAATACTGACATTTTATACTTTCAGAATTAAAAACAGTTTCTTTTTACTTAGAAAAATTTCTTACATACTTAGTATCTAATTCAACTGATTTAATAAGCAAAACAGCATATTCCATCTTAAGTTTCATACCCAAACAATAGTCAATTTGAAAACAAAACCTAATTGAGCAAAGTTATCTTACAGTATAAATATAGCTTTGCCCTATGGGTTTTATCATTTTAATAAATGAAAATTTTTTTAACATATGGGATGACCACCTCTAAGTATATTATCCATTTTCATTAAGAAAATTATCCATTTTTCTAATCTATCAAAAGAGTCAGTGAAACTTACAAGCAAAGCCAGAAAAAATTAATATAGTAAGGTAAACAAACACTTAGTAGATACCAAACCTTAGAAAGATAGCAAGTTAAAACAGTATCAAGAAAAAAACACAAGAATCTGGAGTCAGTTCTGAAATCAGACTCAGCTCTACCACTTGTTAACTGTATGACTATGACAACATTACTTGATAGTCCGGAGCCTTAGTCTCCCTTTTGTGCAATAAATACGGGCCTAAAAGTAGAGAAAATTAACTGAACATTTGTAAATGGGCATACAATAAGCACCAAATGAACCTTAGGTTTTCCATTACCTTAGGTAAGACAACTGTTTTCAACTCTAGTCACGTAAAAAATGAAACTACTGCAGTCAAGCCCAAAAGATAAAATCTAGATTCTAGCAAATGAAAATCTTCTTTAGTACAATTATACAACTAGGATATCCAAATACAGGGGAAAATGAAACTTTTTCCCCCACAGTAAGAAGAATTACTGAAAAACTTCCCAAGAAAAATTTTAGAAGCCATTAAATAGCAGTAGTTAATATATACCACTCTCCACAGTGCACAGCCTTCAACACTCCAACAGCAGCTGTAGTCTGTCGTTCAAAACCTTGTCCTATATGATCTGCATGAGCTCTTGTTCTGTCTTCAAAGAGCATCTCACGAGGCTCACTAGTTCGAGGTAGGTACTGCAGGTTTTTTATCTCATTGGTAGTTCTGTTAAAACAAAATTATATATATAAAGAGACAGAGAGAGGCAGGCTTATGCATATTAAGGCTAAATTGCCTTCAAACATTTGTACTGATGTATTGACAGGTTTAACTTTTTAAACTCATTAATAGTTACAGAACACCTACTCTGTGTCAGGCACTATCTAAGCACTGGAGCTACTGAACAAGACAGTAGTGAATAAGACAGACAAGTTCCTTACTCTCGTAGGAGTTTATATTCTAGTGAGAGATAGACCAAAAAATAAACAGCAAGAAAACACTAGGCAATAAGTGCTTCCATAAAACATGCACGGTTTATTGGAGGTAAGGGGAAAAAAACACTTTAGCTCCACCCTGGAGGACAGACATCTCCCACTGGGCCTCTCCTCCACCGCTCACCTTCTAGAATCCATATGCATACAGAAGCTGCTGCCTACTTGGCCTCACTCACTGCAGAAACCCTCTCCAATTTTGCTGCAGAAGGGGAACTGGGTGAGAAGAATTTATTTTGGGAGTCATCATCTTATTTATCTCCCTGTATGATTTTTCTGTTGCTTCCAGAGACAAATCAGGATTGCCCCCATTATTTTTTCATCTCATCCTAGTCTGTCCCCTAGGGTCACTCTTCCTTTTTGGTTCTCTAACTTCCCACCCTCAAACTCTACTACTTTACTACTCTTTGTGCACTCTTATCTTACAGTTTTATATAAACTTTCACACAGACACACACACAATGCTTTAACGTACTTTTTTGCTGTTTGTGATTAATGTTTTACAGGTATTAGAAAGCTAGATGATGATGTTGCTTTCTGTGGAAAGCTAACAGGCTTTCAAACCAAGTCTCACCTCATTATACCACATTCTAATGAATTAAGACCTTATTAAAGCATTTGGCACAGTGCCTAGGGCACTGTTGTCATTAGTTGGTCAGACTATATATAACCTGATGTGAAATGACCACATATACCATGGATTGTAATCCCTGAGGATTACAAGTTCCTCAAGGGGCTGGTGAACTCCCTTAAATTACATGTAAAAGTTTGTATATATCTGCATTATTCTAGGGAGAGTCTTTCAGATTCTTAAAATGATTTGTAAATCCAAATTAAGAATCACTGAGATATACACCAAGTTTACCATTTACTACCAACTTAAAATTTAACTTGTAAAAATTTCACTGAACCAAAATTTATTTATTAAACACACTCTGTTTAGGTGCTAGAGACACATTAGTAACAAGCACAACATTGTCCCTGCTCTCATATAACCTACATTTTACTCTATGACCATTTCTCCCTGTTCTGTTTTTTCTTCTTAAATTTATAACTAGTGAGACCATCTTTAGACATCTAAAAAAAGGATTATCTCCCCCAGGATCACCCACTCCATTCCCACCAATGTTACGCTAGTGTACATTCTTCTACACTTTTCTCTGTGCTTACATAAATATACTTTTCATAAAAATAGAATCATACTGGACATACACTCTACATTTTGCTCTTTTCAAGTACCATGGATATCCAGCTCAACAGACAAAATTTCATATTATGAAATTAACTATTTCACCACATTCTTTAACAGGAATGTACCAAAATGTATTCAACCATTCTCCTGTTAATGGACATTCAGACCATTTTAAAATTTATCTCAATATGATAAATGCTGCAATTAACATTCTTATACATTTACCTTTAGTGCTTTTATTTCTTGGGACAAATTCCCAAAAATAGGGGTCCTGGTTCAAGGAGTATACATATGTTAAACTTTATGAGCTATTTTAGATTACTTCTAAAAAATGATTACAGAAGCTCACCCATAGACCAATAATATATATTACCCTGTTTCCTCACGTACCTACCAGCCTGTAATATACTCGCTCTGTTAATAATTTTTGCCAATGTAATAGGTAAAAATAGTATCTCATAATTCTTTTAATATATATTTAATATACAATCGACTACCTGGGGCCTATTTTTCTATTGGGTTGTTCTACATTTTTCTTCTCAATTTAGAAATGCTCTTTGTATACTAACTTTAGTCTGTCACATGTTACAAATGTTTTAGTCCAGTCTATCATAGTTTTGAACTTTGCTGTTGATGTCTTTTCTCTCACAAATAGTATTATCATTGTATCTTTTAATCTTTGCTTAGGAAGATCTCTCCTAAGCTTAAGCATTTTATTCTAATATTTTTATTTTTTACTTATTATGTTCAAATCCCTTACTTCTTGTATAACATTGGGGTTATGGCTTTGTTTTCCTCCAAATGGACTCCCATTTATGCCAGCATTATTCATTAAATAAATTTTTCTTTTCCCACTTATCTCATTATTAAGTTCCCAATATACTTTGATCTGTTTGTGTACTCTATCCTATTCCAATGATCTTTTTGAGCTTCATAGTACTTTTTAATATTGAGTAAGACAAGGTCCCCCTCATACTTACCTTCTTTTTCACAGCTTTCTAGACTGACTTTACTTATTCTTCCTTATGAACTTTAAAATTATTTTATCCAGTGCTGGAAGTGTAAGTCCATTTGTAATGCTAAAAATTCCAAAGGACTATAATTTTTGTCCAATCCAGAACACAGATCTAAAGATTTGTTTAGATCTTATTCTATATCTTTCATGTTTCAGTTTTCTTAAAATGAATATTATTTAAATTTATTTCTGAATATTCATTAAATTTATTCCAAAACACTTTATGTCTCTGTTGTGAATGATATTTTTTCCATTCCTAGTTACAATTTATTGTCATTTGCCTACCTTTTTCATGTTTTATTTATATTTGATACTTATAAGAAATTATATCAGTATGTGTAACCATTTTTGAACTTACATTTCAATTACACTCTAAATTTTCCCTTCCTTCTTCCTCCAAATTTCAACAATATACACATACCAATGTACAAATACCCATCCCCAGCAAAAAACATTTATATCCAACATACCTTTTCCTTTTGAAAGGTGACTTTGGCATATCAGCCACAGGGATCATTTGTTCTCCCGGGCGTACCCACATGATGGGACCATCATCACTATCTTTTCGACTCTCTAATTTTAGACTAGATAGTGTCCCCCATGGCAGTGTACACTAGAGGCAAATAATTACAGAGAAATTAATTATTTTTAAAATGTATCTTCAAATATACATTAAAGACTATTGTCCCCTTGACAAAATTTCATATATACATTTGAAATACATACCTATTTTAAATATATTCATATATATTCATAAATTTTCCTTCATAATATTCTATTTCAAACGTAACAAGAGAGTAATTATTCTTGGATGGTTTCCCCCACTTCCCCAACCCTGCCAGAGGTATGATTCACTGTATTTATCATTTATTATTCTTCCTTCTACCAAATATATGGGTCATATGATGTTAATTAGTTGGCAAAATAAGTGTCTTCCATGAGAATCTATAAAAATGAACAACTGAGTTTAAAAAATGGATACCTCAAAAAAAAGGGGGGTGGGCCTTCCCTGGTGGCGCAGTGGTTGAGAGTCTGCCTGCCGATGCAGGAGACACGGGTTTGAGGCCACAACAGTGAGAGGCCCGTGTACCACAAAAAAAAAAAAAAAAGGGGGGGGGAGGGGGGATATACCTCTGATTAGTTATAATCAAAACCTAACAAAACAAAAAGGAAAAGTAAACCAAAATCAAAATTTATTTCTGTGTAGTAGTTTCTTGAAAAGGTTGCTGTTCTAAAAGCAGGAATTAACATCTTTGAAAAGAAAAGAGAAATGACCAAGGGCCACTATCCATGGAATGGTGACAAAATGAGTATTTTTTAAAAAACCATACCCCCTTTCCAAAAAGGGGAGCTTGTCAAATTAAATTTCTCCAGAAAGAATGCATTTAGCTCATTTGCTTTTAAAATTAAAATCTGAAACATAAATATTTAAATGATGGTGTTTTTAAAATAGCACTCAAAATAAATGCAACCAAATTCCATGTCACTAGTTGGGTGAAACAGACAAGGAACCAAAGGTTTAAAAGGAACAAAAAAGGAAATAAAAGGGGAATGGAGTAGGGTGAAAAAGAAAAGGAAGAAAAAGATATATATACACATATAGACTAGAAAATTAAGCATGCAGAAGTGAAAAAAGAAGAGATGTTTAACAGATTATGTGGCAAATACTAGAGACAAACTGATCTTGTCACATTTTTAGCTTTGAATTATTGATTAAATAACTGACCTAACTACATAGATCAGACATTTTTCTCTCAATAGGATAGCCCCAGCTGCCCATAAGAAGAAATATTTTCTGGAATGCAGAGACTGTTGGGGGGAAAAAAAAAAACCAGAACAGAATCTGGCTAAAAATCATTTAAAGGGGCCTTAAAGCTGCATAGTTTAAATACCTTATTTTATGGATGAGGAAACTGAAGCCTAGAAAGTTTAAACGGCTTGCCCAACCCAGCTAGGATCTCGCAAGATTGAAATAGTTATACAACTTCCCAGGCCAGTTTTCCACAAACCCAAACTGCCATTCCCTTGTCCTGAATACTTTAATTTAGTAGACATCCTTCCTGTACCTCTTAAATCCTCTGGCACTCAGTTTATAAAAAGCTGATAAACGGATGGAACTTATTTTCCTCAAGTGGCAGCTACAGGCAAGTGTTATTTTCTGGTCCACCACTTAGCTTTGCCATTAAAATTAGTACCTGAGAAGTCACACACACAACACTATACAAGAATTACTTCTACTTTGTCATCTCTTCCTTTCCTTCCTTATAATTCAAATGAAATCAAAGTTTTTATAATTCTGAAACAGCCATGATCTGTTATCACTAGTAGCATAAAAGTAACTCCCACAACTCAGACTGCTTGATATTGTTTTCTCTTACTTTTAAAAATGGTGAATCTTCCAACATGTCAAGGAACTCAGGGAAGTAATCTCCCACTTCTTCATCTACTGCTCCCACCAAGCTGATCTGTCGCATTGGGCCAGCTCTATAAGTACCGTGAGAATACGTTCTTTTTACCTGAAGGATATGGAGTTAATTAAGTTAAACATAAGATAATGCCTGTTATCACTGGATAACACTAAATTATGTTGTCTGAAAATATTAGAACATAATGTGTGGCAAGCAAAACAACAAAAAAAAAGCCTTTCACAAACAGTAAAAAAAATAAGGCACTTAAAAAAAAAGAAAAAAGAAAAGATCGGCACAAAATCAAGCTATTTTACCTTCTCTAGCTATTCCTACACACTGCTTATGAAAATACAGTTGAGATAAACAGCGTAATTCCAGACAACTAACTATAATTTCTCCTTATAACAGAGCAGTTTATTATTTGATCTACAGTGCCACTGAAATTATATTCAGAAGTTCCTGTACCTATATTTTCCTAAATGGTTCATATCTTTTTGTCAGAATTTTCAAAAGTAGACCCTCTGAAAACGTTGCATTTAACCATCACCAGTAGTTTGTATGTCCAAAAGGCCACCAGGAATGATCTTAGCATGTTAACTAGGATCCAGTTTACATTTTTCTGATGAAAATCTACTAGAGCTTGAGAACCAAAAGTCCTAGGTCCCAAATCTGTCTACCTTTGCTATCTACCAGCTATGTGACCTCCAGAAATCACTTAAATTCCATGAGTTTGAGTTTCCTTAACCGGAAAGATTTACCTCGGATTGCTAAAGAAAACAATAATTGTACAGTGTGAGCAAATGGGTATCATTTGAATATCAACCAAAATAAAACAACCTATATACCTCAAGGATCACTGGTACCTAAGTTTTCAAAAGCACATTTAAATCTTGCAAAGAAACCTCATATACTAACAGTAGTAAACAAGAGTATTTTTAAAGCAAAACAACTTCTTTTCATAAACAAACTTCAAGCAAAATCCTAATTATTTTTTTCTCTGGATTAGCCTTTATGGCCACTAACTGTAGGGAAATTACATTGTCTCAGTTTGCCTGGGTCTATCCCAGTTTTAAAATGGAAAGTCCCGTACCAGGCAAACCCAGATGGATGAGCTTTCATCACATCAGGGACACAGACTCTAAAATATTTTCATATCACAAGGTGAATTCCCACAATTGCAGCTGATACAGATAGTATTCTGTATCAATGTATTTAAGCCCCCACCCACAACAAAAACATGACAATAAAAGTTCTATCGTAATAGAACATTTGACTAAAACATTTGAGAATTTTATTTTTTAGCATAATAAGCAAAACAGCATAACAATGATACATTAATTCCTTAATAAATTTACCAGAATTACAAGGTTAAGTTTTCATGCACTATCACAAATTCACTTCTCAGAACCATAAAACCTTGCTCCAATCCCCAAGTTACAAAAAAAGTTGGGGTCTGTGTCCCCATTTTGTACTCATGATCTGACCTTTTTCTTCTCTCCCAAAAGTTCCTAGCATCTCCAGTACTGAGACAGCTAAAAGTTAAAATCTGACTCTACAACAATATTTAGGCTTTAGATGTTTAGATATACTAAGAGTACTACAACAGGAAAATTAGTCATCACTATGCATTTCTGTAATGCAGTCTAACAAAGCTAAAAATATCAAGTTGAAATTTAGCAAATTTATAAGAACTGATATCAATTCTGTTGCGTGACTCTGAGCTTGTGGCTTCAGTTTTGGATCTGCAAATGGTCATATGTGTTTTTGAGAGACCTCAAGACCATTCAGTGAAATCAAACACCTTCTATTGTAAAACACAAATTTACAAGTGCTTTGAAATATTCATTTGACTTACAAGTCACATTAGGTAATATTTCCACTTCACACAAATAAGTAAATTTTCTGTGCCTCAATCTTCTCTGTCTTGTTTAAACTTAGATAACTCATCTAAATCGTTAACCAGTTCTAACAAAGCCAGAATCAAGAAAGTCTTTGCGTTCCAGCTGGTTCATTCTACTACATCAACTAAATAATTTGGACAGTGACTCAATTATCAACATCAACAAGGATCAGCTGAATAATTTGGGCAGTGACTCAATTATCAACTAAATAATTAGGGCAGTCGGAGGAATGTTCAGGGAGGGAATCCTTCCAAAGTACTAAGCACAACTGAATTTATGAGCTCTCGCAAAGAAATGGGTACTTTAAACATACTTTTAAAGCAAAAGGCAAACGCATATATGGTCCACTGGACTCTTTTTTTCCAAGGGAGTATGTGCAAGAACTAAATACATGCATACAAAAGATACACCAAGAAAGAAAGAATGCTCTTTAATATGCATGTTAGGATTTAGGAGTCAGAGACAATCTACTCTGAGGAAATGTAAAGTCTGAAATTATAACAGTTTATTTAATAGGCAAAAACATGAAATAACTCATTTCTCAAATAACTGAAATAGATTTTGGAGTTCTACATAGTGGTTGCCATGCAATTCAATTAACTTCTTCCATTCTAAAAAAAAAACAAACAAAAACTCTACTATAACAGTATTTAACTATAGAGAAGGGATAAATACAATTAATAATCAAAAAAACAGAACTAGTAGGACTTCCCTGGTGGCGCAGTGGTTAAGATTGCTCGCTCCCAATGCAGGGGGCCTGGGTTCGATCCCTGGTCAGGGAACTAGATCCCACATGCATGCCACAACTAAGAGTTTGCATGCCACAACTAAGGAGCCCGCCTGCTGCAACTAAGGAGGAGGCGAACCGCAACTAAGGAGCCCTCAAGCCGCAACTAAAGGAGGCTGCGTGACACAGCTAAGACCCGACACAACCAAATAAATAAATATTAAAAAAAAAAAAAACCAGAACTAGTTATTAACAAGTTTAACATTCAGCCCTCTTAGAGTAAAATTTCTGTGTTTAAATGTTAAGTAAAAACATGTATCGTTTAGTAACAGAAAAAATGGGTAAAGCTTCTTGGGTGGTAGTATTAAAGACTTATAACTTAAGTACTTAACTAACTTTGATTTAACCAGATGTTGCTATTTTAGGTTGGAATGATCATTTCACTGATTGAAGAGAACATTACTGACCTAGCCATATCATTTCATTCAAATTACTCCTTTACATTAATTTCCAAGTTTACAAATGTTGTTCTTTGTTTACAAGTAAAATAAAATAAAACACGTCTAAATATTAGAAATTTTAACACAATAGACTAAATTAAAACAAATTTGACTTTTCCTCCTCTCCTATGTCTATTTTGAGGCTACCTAAAAGGAGGCTATATCTTTTGATGATTTTTTTTTAAAGTATACCCTATTAAAATTCATAAATATTTCAAAGGATATTTGGGAGAAACTGAATTTTAAAGAGTAAAGTAATACAGACTCTATTTGTTGGATTATAACCTTAAATATGGTATTTGAATCTTCATAGTTCTGGTCACCTCATGGCAAAATACATATATACTATATGTAAATTCATTTAAACACATAATTTGCTATAATAAAATAAAAGCACAATTCTCTCCCCTTTTCACCAAAATGCGCTACAACTGTAAAGTACATTCTGTTTGTCCACTATTAAAACCACAGATAGGGAATTCCCTGGCGGTCCAGTGATTAGGACTCCACACTCTTTCACTGGCAAGGGCCCGGGTTCAATCCCTGGCTGGGAAACAAAGATCTCGCAAGCCACGCAGTGTAGGAAAAAAAAAAACAAAAAAACCCACAACACAGATATATTCCACTAAGTATGGTCTCTATATAAATTACATATACTTACCTATCAGGTTTAAAACAAAACAGCAATTTTCTTCTAAGACATTCATTCTTCAAATATTAAAGATAAGAATCTGATGACTCAATAGGATGGATATAAATAAATTTAAAACTAAATTTTAAAAATTAAATTAGGGCTTCCCTGGTGGCGCAGTGGTTGAGGGTCCGCCTGCCGATGCAGGGGACGCGGGTTCGTGCCCCGGTCCGGGAAGATCCCACGTGCCGCGGAGCGGCTGGGCCAGTGGGCCGTGGCTGCTGGGCCTGTGCGTCCGGAGCCTGTGCTCCGCAACGGGAGAGGCCACAGCAGTGAGAGGCCCGCGTACCGCAAAAAAAAAAAAAAAAAATTAATCAAAATCTTAGCTTGTGAAAGTAATCTGAATTTTAAAATACAGTATAACTCAATTAAAAAACGGGCAGACCTGAATAGACACTTTTCCAAAGAAGACATACAGATGGCCAACAGGCACGTGAAAAGATGCTCAACATCACTAATCATCAGGAAAATGCAAATCAAAACCACAATGAAATATCACTTCACACCCGTCAAAATGGCTATCATCAAAAAGATCAAAAATAACAAATGTTGGAAAGGATGTGAAGGGAACCCTGTACACTGTTGATGGGAATGTAAATTGGTACAGCTGCTATGGAGAACAGTATGGAGTTTCCTCAAAAAACTAAAAACAGGGCTTCCCAGGTGGCACAGCGGTTGGGAGTCTGCCTGCCGATGCAGGGGACACGGGTTCGTTCCCCGGTCTGGGAGGATCCCATGTGCCGCGGAGCCGCTGGACCCGTGAGCCATGGCCGCTGGGCCTGCGCGTCCGGAGCCTGTGCTCCTCAGCGGGAGAGGCCGCAGCGGTGAGAGGCCCGCGTACCGCAAAAAACAACAAAAAACAAACAACAAAAAAACTAAAAACAGAACTACCATACAATCCAGCAATTTCACTCCTAGGTATATATCTGAAGAAAATGAAAACACTAATTCAAAAAGATATATGCACCCCAATGTTCATAGCAGCATTATTTACAATGGCCAAGATATAAAAGCAATCCAAGTGTCCAACAACAGATGAATGGATAACAAAGATGTGGTATAGGGCTTCCCTGGTGGCGCAGCAGTTGAGAGTCTGCTTGCCAATGCAGAGGCCATGGGTTCGAGCCCTGGTCTGGGAAGATCCCATGTGCCGCAGAGCAACTGGGCCCGTGAGCCACAACTACTGAGCCTGCGTGTCTGGAGCCTATGCTCCACAACAAGAGAGGCCACGATAGTGAGAGGCCCATGCACCGCGATGAAGAGTGGCCCCCACTTGCCGCAACTGGAGA